ATATATATATCTCACATCTTCTTTATCCATTCATCAGTTGATGGACATTTTGGCTTTTTCCATAATTGGCTATTATTGATAGTGCTGCTATAAACATTGGGGTGCATCCCTTTGAATCAATATTTTTGCATACTATGGATAAATACTTAGTAGTGCAATTGCTGGGTCTTTTTGAGGAGCCTCCATACTGTTTTCCAGAGTGGCTGCACCAGTTTGCATTCCCACCAGCAGTGCAGATTCCCCTCTCCCTGCATCCTTGCCAACATCTGTTGTTTCCTGTGTTGCTAATTTTAGCCATTCTGACAGGTATGAGATGGTATCTCATTGCAGTTTTGATTCATATTTCCCTGATGATGACTGATGTTGAGCATCTTTTCATGTATCTATTAGCCATCTGGATGTCTTCTTTGAAAAAAATTTCTTCTGCCCATTTTTTTAACTGGATTATTTGTTTGTTAGGTGTGGAGTTTTATTAATTATTTATATATTTTGGATACTAACCCTTTATCAGACACGTCATTTACAAATATCTTCTCCCATTCTGAAGGCTGTCTTTTAGTTTTGTTGATTGTTTACTTTGCTTTGCAGAAGTTTTTTATTTTGATGAAGTCTCAATAGTTTATTTTTGCTTTTATTTTCCTTGCCTCTGGAGACATGTCTATTAAGGAGTTGCTCTGGCCGAGGTCAAAGAGATTGCTGCCTGTGTACTCCTCTAGGATTTTGATTGTTTCCTGTCTCACATGTAGGTCTTTCATCCACTTTGAATTTATTTTTGTGTATGGTGCAAGAATGTGGTCTAGTTTTTTTCTTTTGCATGTTGCTGTCCAGTTTTCCCAGCACCATTTGTTGAAGAGACTGTCTTCTTTCCATTGGATATTCTTTCCTGCTTTGTTAAAGATTAGTTGACCTTATGGTTGTGGGTCCATTTCTGGGTTTTCTATTCTGTTTTATTGATCTATGTGTCTGTTTTTGTGCCAGTACCATACCGTCTTGATCACTATAGCTTTGTAATATACCTTAAAGTCAGGAACTGTGATGCCTCTATCTTTGCTTTTCTTTTTCAAGGTTGCTCTGACTATTCAGGGTCTTTTCTTTGAAGGTGAATAATACATGAGTTCATTAAATTTATGTATGTTTACAGTTGACAGTACTAAATTTGGGAAATAATCTTTTAGAAGAAATTCCAGAAGAGATGAAATACCTTACATCCCTGAAGAAGCTTCATTTATTTGGAAATAAGATTTGTAAATTTGCATCTGGAGCATGTGGTAAGTTAGTCATAGAAGAGCAACATTATAAGGCCAAACTTAATATCCTTATATTGAACAAATGCAAAAGTAAAAAAATTTACCTTTTAATAATTTTTTGTTGGAGTTATTTACACATTGCTCTTGAAATTAAGGAATTCTTGGGACTTTTTTTTCAACTATTGTACTAGGTGGATCTGAGAAAAGAAGTTAGTATTAGATTAATGAATATCCCGTTTTCAGAATCAGTGTATATTTTGACTTTTGAATCTGGGCACCCTTTCTCTGTACCTAAGAGGAGACTAGTTGAAAATCAAATCAAGAAAAGTTCCCCTTATTTTTTACACTTTTTATTTTGTCTCAATTTTAAGCTACAATCTTTGATCAAGATGTTAAGATTGAAATCAATTTGAGGAGGACTTTAAAGAAAAAATATGAGATCCAATAATTGGCATTTTTTTTTTTTTGGTGTTTCCTTTCAAACTATAACTTCTCCATTCAATAGGACACTCTTCCAATTGAATACAGGTAGAGTGGGCTTAAAGACAAAACATATGACAAAGAGATCTAGGTGATTTTTATAGCTTCATATACTCATGTACAACACTTTGTCTTTATAAGGCTTTGACCCTACTAATAAAACTAAAGCTATGTTATGAAATTTATAAGGTTCTGTGGACTTTTGAGATATGGGTGCTATATATAATCCCTGTCATCATTAAGCAGCATTTACTAAGGATATCATTGGGGGGGGGGCGAAATTAGGGGTATATTTGGCAAACAGCACAAATAGACTCTGGTACCATCTTTTTACTTTAAGATCCTAAATCATGTATCTTGGAGAAATATTTTTTTTTTCAAAATAAGAACAGTAACAAACACTTATTAATGTTCATGCACATTATATATGCAAAGCCATTGATTCAGGGTTCAATTACAATCTACTTAGGAAGAAAACAGTTTACATGCAAAAAAATTAAGGGCATGAAAACAAACAGAGAATTTTATAAACTATTTTACAAACTCTACTTTGGGGACAAACATGGGCAAAACCTGATACATATAAACAATATTACGCAACCTAATTGGTGCTAATTTAAGGCTTTCTTAAAGAAAAATTTTGTCTTGTGTGCCCATAAATTTGAGGTTTATAAAATATATGTAATCTCTGTACAGTAGTCTCTGGATTTCTTGGTTTTGGGCTGTTGAACTTTGGAAATCCCATGTGAGTGGCAGAAGTTATGTTCTATGGCATGTTTTTATTAACCAAGGGCAGAAACAGTTTTGTGTCAGGTAGTTGAGCATTATCTGGCATGTATTACATGACTCTGTCCCCCCTCACCAGACCAGGGGGCTGGGCCAGAGCTAGATTTGTGTCCCATGGTGGGCCAGTATTTGTCTCTTTCTTGGGAATTACGATAGAATCCAAAACAGTTTAATCGGTCTGAGCTAATCATATGAACTAAGGCAGGGGTTGCAAACTGGTGGCCTGTGGGCTGAAACTGGTTCACCAATAAGTTGGTTCTATTTTGACTGCCTTTTAAAAAATGTGAATTAGGATACCAAAACTTGCAAATCAAAAGAGTTCACAAAAAGAAAAAAAATCTGGTTCTCTGGATCTTTTTCATCCACTTGTTTTAAGAAAGAAAGACAAGGCAATACTGGAAGCATATTCCTACATGATAGCAATGGCCAGGGGCTGGCTGAATGGCAGCTGGCCTGTTAGATAAGGCCGGTGCTCACCAGTTCAGCACACTCCTGCCAGTTACACTCTGGCCAGGGCCACTACTACCGTTTGAGTTAACTTCTCAGCTCCTGCAGGCATTTCAGTTCAAGAACTGTCTACCCGGTCTGTGAACATACAAACGCAGGAGCTGTAGGATGGCTATCCATATAGGGAAAATTAGAGAAAATCTGTTCAAAAGAAAAGCCTGGGGAACGGGGCAAAGAAAGGAGTAGGGAGAGACAATATGAATGTGAAGCTGAGAGAAGCTGTAATGAGAAATAAAACTCTACGTTCTGCAGAGACTCCTGGAGAGTATATCCCCCCAGACTTTGAGCAGCTCCTGGGAAAGACAGCATTAGCCTACAGCGTGGTATGGTGTCTTTGGACATCACAACCTGGTTCAATGGTTCAGAAGAAGCATGAAAAGCCCAAGAAACCCTGGCATGATCATTTCTGTGATTACCAAGAGCAACCAAAGGCCTATGTGTATACATACACAGCCCAACATATCTTTATGAGCCTATAATTACATAGCACTCCATATAGATTATGTATATATACATATATTTATATTAATATGATATACCCCCCCACCCCCCATCCCGAGGGCTGAGGGCCCAGTGTATTGGGAGGCAGGAACAGCCATGGCCTGGTTCTCAGGGAAGTTCAAAGCCATGCCCAAAAGGGAGAAGCTTACCGCGGAGATGTACCTGGAGCCACCGTGCACCACATCTGGAGTCACAGATGTAGAGTTCAAGGGCCTGTGGTGCTGCCTGGGGAGATGGGCCTCAACGAGAGGCTGGCAAGCTGCACACCTGGAAGTTTTCCCACTGGCCGGCCTGCAGGACAGCGCCATCTCAGAATTCTGCGCCGGGGAGGTGCGCCTGATACGCTGCGTGGACGCGCAGTGCTGTCGGTTCAACGAGCCGGCAAGGAGGATAAGTGCGAAGGCCCCCAGTCCGTCCATCTGGCCTTGAGCTCCGTGCAGAGAGGCTGGTGGCCGAGAAGGACGCAGCCCCCAGGAAATGCGACAGAGAATGCGTCAGCCCCTTCCGGCCCGGGGCGAAGAATATCCGGGAGTACTTCCGCCACGTGCTAGCGCACGTCGATGCGTCCCCTCTTCAAGGACGCGGGGGCCCTGGAGCTCCGGGGGCACTTGTACACACGGTACACCCATTTCCAGTCCTCCTCACCGGGCAGGTTCATGGGCTCGGCCCCAAAAAGAGCGCCACCCTGGGCCGCCTCCCCGCGGTCACGTGCAGCGGCGGGGCTGAGGGGGGCACAGAACCGGCCTGACGGGCGTGCGCATGTGCGGAGAGACGAGGTACGCGTGCGTGCCCGTGTGAGTGCGCACACGTGCCCGCACGGTCGCCGGAGGTCTGGGAGGCCGCTCTGTGCACTGCCCGTGCGACTTGGGGTCTGCAGCCCGGCTGCTGTGGGGGGAAGGGGTGGGGGGTGGTACCCCCCCCCTCCATTTGACTGCTCTCCCCAAGTCTTGCTGATGGATGGGTGAGTGTGGCCTGTAAGGAGGAACCTTTGGAATGATTCATTCACTCAACAAGCATTTATAGGACAACCCTTGTGAGTTGAAACTAAAGCATAACCTTTATTTCTCCAAAGGATACAGGGGTGCTGTTTCTAAGGGGCATGCGCACCCCAGTGTTTGTAGCGGTGCTATCAATAATAGCCAAAGTACGGGAAGAGCCCAGTTGCCCAGCAACAGATGAATGGATGAAGAAGATGTGATAAATTCCCCCCTTTTTAGCTGAAGCTAGTTTAAGAGGGTATCTGTCACCAGGAACCCCAAGAGCATTAGCCAAGGCAAGAAACCGGAAGGAAAACAACGGTATATAGAAAAGTGGCTGCAAGTTATTTTGTAAGAGATGGCTAACGTGATTAAAATGATTTTCTGACAGATGGCTTACAGAATTTGATTCTGCTTAATCTGAACAACAATGAGCTGGCATGGGTTCCTCAAGAAATCAGCAGGTAATTTTGTTTATAGTGAGACTTGGTTAAACAGCCCTTCCCCAGCCCCACCCTGGTCATCTGTTGTGCCTCAGTGGCCTCAAGTCCTTGTGGGGTTTTAATTTTAAGCAGGTGATTAAAATTTTAAGCTAATTTTAAGCAGGTGATTCTTTGAACACTTGAGGGAAATGAGAAATAGCAGAACTTGGTGGTCTTGGTATAAGGGTGAGGGTTCGAAACATTAAAGTTCTAAAGTTGATTGTAATATTGATTTCCTAACTCTGGGGTTCTTGGAGTCTGCCCTGATATGGGACTGGGGACATGAAATTTTACTTCATATAAGTATTGGAAAACATTTTCAGCTTGATAGAAAAGGTAATAGAAAAGCAAGGTGTTGAAAATCAAGATAATCATTTTCATTAAACAACCCCACATTTTATTATCATTAACAGCAACAAAATGCTGCACAGCTTATCCTGCACATCTGCACAGATGGGCTGCCGTTACAGTGGCTTTCTGGAGCCAGCTGAGGGCCTTGTCCTTCTGCAGGCAAAATGCTCTCTTGGGCTTTTCCTCCGACAGATGGAGAAAAAAACCCTACTTGAGTTTACTTGACTTTGGAGATTCTCTTTATTGCCTGTTGAATAGAAACAGATGTGTTACAACATAAGAGCATCCAGATTTTTGAAGGATACAAAACTATGAACAGTCTTTAACAAAGGGATTTTTGCAGCCCCTAAAGTCTATTCCAATTCACTTGTCTATACCTCTAGCCAATATATTATGCTTCCCAGAGAGATTTTCACAGAGAATGTAATGTTTCTAGTCAGAGTAACTAGAAAAAAGTTTTAAGTGTTCTACTTTATGAAGAAAAGGAATATTTATAATGGTGAAAATGCCAATAGCTCTCCGTTTGCTCCTTCATTTATTCAGCTTCTCAATGGGTTTGTGTATCAATGATACAATGAAAAAAGGGAAGATCTGGTGGACTAGGTCATATCTTTGTGCAACTAGCCTTATGACTTTGGGCGAGTAATTTAACTGCACCTTAGCTTTCTTACCTCTAAAGGAAAAATTTTGAGCAGATGAACTTCAGAACCTTTGCAGCTATAACATGTTATGGTTTCACAATTCAGCTTAGCTCTGTTTGGAGTACTAAGCGTAATATTCAAAGAACTATATAAATCTATAGCGATATGTTAGAAACTGCAATGAAATGAAAGCTTTTACTGAAGAAAGTAGGGTTACAAAATATATAGGTCGATGCTATTTTATAGATAATTCTGGATTGTCTGTATTCTGGCTGTGTCCTTTATGTAAGCTGATTGGTCACCTCCTCAAGCAGTATTTCTATTTTCTGACCTTGGGAAAGTTTCTTCGCCTTCCCATGCCTTAGTGTCTGCAACTGAAACAGGAGAACAATAATAGTGCCTGTTCATGAGGTAGTCTTGACAGTTAAATATTCTAATTAACCAAAAATATTTAGGGTTGAGCCTGGGACGTAGTAAATTGCTCCGTGGATGCCAACTTTTTTTATTATTGGTTGTTATTTTTATTTTCCCTTCTGTTCCTCCCATTCATTCCTTTTTAAAGGCAGAAGATTGACTTAGTGGTGAATTTGGGAAAAGCATTGAGCATACATGGCTCAGCATCCTCTTTTTACTCTGCCACCAAGTAAGCAGCTGCCTTAGGAGGAAAGGCTGTGACTGGATGGGTGTGGTTAATTTAGTGGAGGGCTGGTAGGAAGCCTGAGAATGTTCATGGAAGCTCTGTGCTGATGTGTGATTACCTTCGTTCTGAATCTCGTGTCTCATTTCTCAATTTGTTTAGAACCTGGGAGGGGGAACGTTCTGTTTGTTGGCTTACATAAACTACAGAGTAATGGTTTATGGACTTGGAGTGGAACCTGGACAGGTTAGAGTTTTGCCCCTAAACAACTCTATATGGGCAGAGCGGCACAACCACAGAAGGAAAATGAGAACGTGGGGCATCCTGGGAACAGAATGTCTCTGAAAGAAAGAGGGAGAAAGGAAGAGACGAAACCAGTAGGCTCAGTTCTTCCTCCAAACTCGCCAGTCAGTGAAATTATTCTTTGGCCCACTGGAGAGGAAGAGGGCAGGGAGAAGCTGCAAGTGTACCTCCTGTGATTTTCTCTTGGAAGAGTAGGGAAGGTCTCCCTGCTCCTGGAAATGGCAACATAGCCATTCCTTGTTTTCTCTTCTGCTCTTTTTCAACCAATGAGTGACGACTAATTTACAGTAGCCTCTGAGCCCAGCTTAGTGCCTTGAAATAATGACAAAATGAAAAGCCAGCTGCCATAATATTAATTCAGAGTAGAATCAATTAAAATAGTGATTATAACAATGATTAATGAAGAAAATTCCTTGTCCCTTTCTCCACAGGACCTACTCCACACATTTTCACTCTTTTAACATTAGGTCGTCCATTTTTGACTCTATATCCTCTCTGCATATGACTTTGCACCTTATTTTACTGAGAAATTTGCACTCCCTTCATTCCTTTCTTTTCAGCCTCTTTATCTTGCCTTAAGCAGACCTTAAGACAAAGTCTACTTCTTGCCTTTTCTCCTCCCTCATGGTCTCTCCATAACCAGAGTTCTCTAAACTGCCATCTGTCTATTGTTTTTGTTTCCTACTTAACCCCTTGAAATTCTGTTTTTTCCCTCTTCGTTCTACTGAATATTATTTTCAAAGTTCATTAATGTCCTTTGGGCAATCAAGTCTAATGGCCTTTTCTCTCTGCTGAATACCACGTTACACAGAAATAGTGAGTGTTCCATTCAATGAGTTTGGACAAATGTATACACACCAGTAAGGTATCAGACATTTCCTTCAACCTACAAATTTCCTCTTACACTTCCAGTAAATTCTTACCTCTCATAAGCAACTACTGTTCTGATTTCTACCTCTACAGATTAGTTTTACTTGTTCTGGAACTAAAGAAATGGAATCATACACTATATATTCTTTTGTGCCTGTCTTTTGCTGAGCATATGTTTTTTTGAGATTCACCTTATTGTTGCATTTGTCAGCAGTTTGTTGTTTTTTGTTTATCCCCAGTAGCATTTCATTGCATGAATTATGCCACAAATTATTTTCTCCTGTTTATAGACATTTGGATTATTTCCCATTTGGGGCTATAATGAATTAAGCTATTATAAATATTCTTGTGCAAGTCTTTTTGCGGACATATGTTTAATTTACTTTTCATTTCAATTCCTAGGAGTAGAGTTGTAAAGTTGTAGAGTAGGAGTGTAGGTGTATATGTTAATTTATAAAGAACTGTCAGTTGTTTTGCAAAGTGGTTGTACCATTTTACATCCCTAGCAGTTTTAAAGATGTTAACCATTGTAGTGGGTATGAAGTCACATCTTAGGGTATTTTTAGTTTGCATTTCCCTAATGTCTAATGACAATTGAGCACCTTTTCTTGTTCTCATTGCCCATTTATGTATCTTCTTTAGTGAAGTGCTTGTATCAAATATTTTTTCCATGTATAAAAATTATGTTTTTTTCTTTCTTAGAATTGACTTGTAAGAGTCCTTTAGGGGCGCCTGGGTGGCTCAGTGGGTTAAGTGTCCTACTCTTGATTTTGGCTTAGGTAATGATCTCACTGTTAGTGAGTTGGAGGCCTGCCTAGGGCTGTGCACTGACAGTGCAGAACCTGCTTGGGATTGGCTGTCTCACCCTCTCTCTCTCTCCTCTCTCTGTCCCTCCCCTGTGCGCATGCATGTACTCTTTCTCTCAAAATAAATAAACAAACATTTAAAAACAGAGTTCTTTATGTATTCTGGATACAAGTATTTTCATAAGTGTCTGTATTGCAGATATTTCTTCTATTATGTGACTTGCCTTTTAATTTTCTTAACAGTACTTAGAGAAGAACTGAAATTTTTAACTTTGATAAAGGCCAATTTATAAATATTTTTATTTTCAGATTAGTGCTTTCTGTGGCCTTTTTTTTTTTTTTTTAAATTTTTTTTTTTTTCAACGTTTATTTTTTTATTTTTGGGACAGAGAGAGACAGAGCATGAACGGGGGAGGGGCAGAGAGAGAGGGAGACACAGAATCGGAAACAGGCTCCAGGCTCTGAGCCATCAGCCCAGAGCCCGACGTGGGGCTCGAACTCACGGACCGCGAGATCGTGACCTGGCTGAAGTCGGACGCTTAACTGACTGCGCCACCCAGGTGCCCCTTCTGTGGGCGATATTTGGAGATATTTGCCTACCCCAAAGTTATCAAGATATTATCCTATACTTTCTTCTACAAGCTTTATAGTTTTAGTTTTTATATTTAGGTCTATGATTCATGTCAAATTAATGTTTGTGCATAGTGTGGGGTAATAGTCCAAGTTTCTTTTTTTCCCACATTATCCTATATTTTCTTCTACAAGCTTTATACTTTTAGTTTTTATATTTAGGTCTATGATTCATCTCAAATTAATGTCTGGTGTGCTGTGGGGCAATAGTCAAAGTTGATTTTTTCCCCATATGTTTATCCAGTTGTTCTAGCACCGTTTGTTGAAAGACTGCCTTTTGAGGGGAGTAGGGCACTGGAGAAGCCCACAAGCAGGGGAGGGGTACAGGGAGAGAGTGGGAGAGAATCTTAAGCAGGCTCTACACCCAGCATGGAGCTGGTCTTGGGGCTGGATGTCACAAGCCTGAGATCATGTTATAAACTGAGAGAAATCTCAGTTATAAACTGAAAGAAACATTACTAAGAGTCAGTTACAGCTGACATATAGTATGAAATAAAATAAGAGAACCAGGCGACAGACACACAGAGTCATTTTTTTCTTAAACCTTTTTTATTGTTTTGGTTATTTATTTATTTTGAGAAAGAGAGAGAGCATGAGTGGGGGAGGTGCAGAGAGAGAGAGGGGGAGAGAGAATCCCAAGTAGGATCCACACTACCAGTGCAGAGCCCAACGTGGGGCTCAATCTCACAACCCTGGGATTATGACCTGAGCCGAAATCAAGAGTTGGGTGCTTAACTGACTAAGCCACCTAGGCTCCCCTTGACTTTGTCTTTTTTATAATAGTTTTGGCCACACTAGTTACTTTGAATATCCATATAAATTGTAAAATTGATTTTTCAATTTTTACGCAAAGAAACTTAAGATTTTTATTTGGGCTGAGTTGAACTGTGGATCAATTTGGGGAGAATTGGCATCTTAGCAATATCGTTTCTTTTTATATATGAATAAGACATATCTATACTTTTATTTAGAGCTCTCTTAAATTTTCTGTCATGATTTACAGTTAGTTGTTGGTGTAGAAGTCTCTCATATCCTTTGTTAAATGTATTCCTAACTACTTTATAAGTGTTTTTATGTTACTGTAAATAGAGTTTTCAGACCAATTATTTTCCAGTTGTTTGTGGCTACAGTATAGAAATCCAATAGATTTTTCAATAGTGACTTTGTAGTCTATGACCCTGCTTTTGGTTCTAGTAGGTTTGTTTGTATTTCCTCTCTTGAACATTAAAAAAAAAATTAATGTTTATTTATATTTGAGAAAGAGAGATAATGTACAAGCAGGGGAGGGGCAGAGGGAGAGACGGAGACAGAACATGAAGCAGGCTCCAAGCTCTGAGCTGTCAGCACAGAGCCTGATGCGGGGCTCGAACCCATGAACCGGGAGATCTGACCTGAGCCAAAGTTGGATGCTTAACTGTCTGAGCCACCCAGGCGCCCCATATTTTCCTTATTTCTAAATTAAGGGTAATAATTCCAACCTTAGGGTTGTACTGATTATTAAATTTAATGCATAGGTGCATAGTTGGTGCTCAACATTACTAATGTCTTTCTCCTTTATTCAAAATATTAGTATTTTCTCAGCTTATTGTGCCCACCATTGCCCCGATTTTACAAGTTCTGTTATTCAAAGCCAAATTCAAAATGTTTGTTCTTCCAAAATGCTTGTGATAGACATCATGTACCATATCTGCAATTAGAAACTCAAATTTCCTTAATCTCTTTCCCCAGGTCTGATGGCATTTCCTATCTTCATATTATGGCTCCATCTAATATCTCCTTCTAGACCCTGACATACATAAGGGCAGAATGTGTGGCTGATTCATCTTTGCATCTTTCATAGCAGCTAAGAGTGCTTATATCTGTTTGGTGCAAGACATTTAATCTGTACCTGTATCTCTATCTCTGCCTCTATCCATTTGTGTCTACGTATGTATGTGTATGTATATTTGTGCATATGTATGTCTTCCTTTGTCCTCTGGCTTCCTCTTCAATATAGCCAACGTATACATACAAAGAGTGAAAATGGAGTTTCTTCTTTTTTAAATCTGCATTTTGATTTTATAAAATACTTTTAACATAAGGGATGCCTGGGTGGCTCTGTGAGTTAAGTGTCAGACTTCAGCTCAGGTCATGATGTCACCGTTCATGAGTTTGAGCCCTGCATCAGTCTCTCTGCTGTCAGTGCAGAGCCTGCCTGCTTCAGATCCTGTGTCCCCTCCCAACCCCCCCCTCCCCCCCGCTTCTCCCCTGCTTGTGCTCTCTCAAAAATATACATAAAAAAATACTTTCAACATAAGTTATCCAATTAAAAATAGCTTTAGAAGTTAAATTATAGAAAAGATTTTTTATGCTCAAAGTATTTGTAATAGTTGTGAACCTGTGACTAAAGTAAGGCTCAGGTGAGCTACAAAAGAATGAATTGACACATGACTTCTGATAAGTGGTATGCCCAATGGACTTTCTTATTTTCATGAATATCATTCATATCCTTTTTTTTAGATTAAAAAACCTTAAATATTTGAGTATAAATCATAACCAGCTAGCCAGCATTCCTAAAGAACTTTGTTTTCTTAAGAATCTTTTTGAACTTCACCTTAACTACAATCAGCTCATTTGCATACCTGAAGAGATTAAGTTCTTGAAGAAGCTCCAGAAGCTTCTTCTGGTCAGGAACAATATTGAAGTTCTGCCAAAGGTAAGCAAAACGTGGAACCAAATTTTCATGGGTAAGAACTCATTGCCACATGATGGGGAGTGACTATGGAATAGATTTGGACATCTCAATACAAGCCATCATTTACTTTCCCTCCAATTAGACATAGTTAGTTCCCAAAGACCTATGACATAGGAGGGTAATAACTTGGATTATTCCACATAGTAGGGGTGCCAAATTTAATAAATAGGGACGCAGGATGCTCACTTAAGTTTGAATTTCAGATAAGGAACGAATAATTTTTTAGTATAAATATGTTCCAAATATTGCATGGGACGTACTTATAGTAAACAAAATTGTTCTCTGAAATTTCTATCTAAGTGAACCTCTTGTGATTTATCTGGCAACCCTGTGTATGGCATAATATGTAAGTACACTTTAGGTTTGGAATATGTGCTATCTGTCTTCCATTTTTCCTACACAGCTACTCTTCATCCTCTTCCAGACTATTCTGTGCCTGGGAGACTGACCTCATGGGCATCAGTAAGCTTCTTTGTCCTCTGACTTCCTCTTGGATGTGGCCAATGATAGCCACTAGTAGGATGTGAAAGGGAGGAGGAGAGTGTGTACTAGATGGTATTCCCCTGGTACCCTCCCTGATAGGATGTTGTAAGTTGCCTGCACACTTTTCTGGAAGACCGTAGTTAGTAAGTATAAGGTGATCCTCATATGGACCATTACTACCTCCCTTGGCTCTTCAGGCCTGTGGCAGTGAAGAACTCCCTGCTGTTTGGGGGAACTTTGTCAGAACCTTGCTAAACTTTTATACGTGGTGGTTTTATTAAACTCTCCTCAAATTTCCCATTTTGAGAGTACTGTTTCTTGCTGGGAACCTGTCAATGGGTTTACTTTCCTTCCTTATGCAAATTAAAATTAATTTGATAGGAGGGAATGCATGTCATACAGTAAATTGAGGAATACAAAAGGTAGATCCATTCCTACTGTTTCATTTTTCTCTCAAGAGGATAATATTCCCTTTAAAAATTCTGTGCACACTGTAATGTGATAAATATAGCAAGGTGTATGGGGCACCTGGGTGGCTTAGTCGGTTAAGTGTCCAACTTCAGCTCAGGTCATGGTCTCACAGTTCGTGAGTTTGAGCCCTGCATTGGGCTCTGTGCTGATATCGTGGAGCCTGGAGCCCGTTTCGGATTCCATGTCTCCCTCTCTCTCTGCCCCTCACCTGCCCATACTGTGTCTCTCTCTCTCTCTCAAATGTAAACATTAAAAAATTTTTAAAAAATATAGCAAGGTGTAGGCTTTAAATAGGTGTATTTCAAAAATGTTATTCTTGGGGTGCCTGGGTGGCTCAGTTGGTTAAGTGTGCAACTCTTGGTTTCAGCTCCGGTCATGATCTTGTGGTTTCATGAGTTCAAGCCCCTCGTCGGGTTCTGTGCTGAGAGCACAGGGCCTGCTTGAGATTCTCTCCCTCTGTCTCTGTCCTTCCCCAACTCATGCTGTCTCTATCTCAAAATGAATAAATAAACTTAAAAAAATTAATTTTTTCTTACGTTACTTAAAAATCCTAATTTCTGTAAATAAGAATATTTCCTGAAATTACAAAGTAAATCTGTTAGAAGTATAACTCCTTTATTTGAGGAAAAAATAGTAACAGTAGTAACAGGATCATGGTCATGAAGTATTATATTATTAGTGTTCATAACTCTGGTATGTTGCTCTTCTTATTTACCCACTCTAAAATAAGGAACAGAGAGGTTAGACGACTTAAACACACTTTACAAAGGTCAGAGAAAGGGCTCAAATCCATGTCTGTCTGACTTAAAAGTCTGGAGTTCCCATCAATACTCCTACTACAATTATTTTTTTAATCCCGAGGAGTTTGGACTCTAAAAATTTAAATCCTAGTAAGTCCTGTCCTAAGTTATTATGTAAAGAATGCCTATGATTACTTATGTCTTTGTACATTTAATCTGATTCAGTCTATCATTGTGCTTTTTGGTCTGCATTATACATAAGGTATTCTAGAAAATACTAGTTTGTTTTGGTAATGAGCAAATTATGAATCATTTTCTGGTACATTATAAATTATCTGTGTGTCTGCACATGTGTGTGAATGTATATGCCTATTCAGTCACATTGGACATGTAGATAGAGACACTAATAAGTTTAATTTTTTTTCTATAAGGAAAGGATTGAGTGAGCACAGAGCTAAGCAAAAGGTAGATGTGAAATAAATGCCTTTGGAATTGTTGATAGACCTTTTACATCTGTTTTTCTGTTTCTCTAAGGTTCTATTTTAGTTTTAGTATGTTTACTGAGTTCTCTCACTATAAGGCCTTTCAGTAAGCACTTACTGATTAGTAACTTATTTAATCCATTCAATAACCATATCAAAGGAAGGGCTTCCATTGCCATTTTCATTTTACAAATGGAGAAAATGAAGTACAAAGAGATTGAGAAATTTGTCTGTAGTTACATAGTGTTGGAGATCTGAGCCTACAAATAGTCTAACTCTTGGCCACCATGTTATGTTGCCCTGGAGTGGTCAGAGGTAATGGAGACCTTAGAGAATCTGGGACCCCAGGACATAGTAACTCCTCAGGGAGGACGTACTGAAGAACCGATCAGGTAATTAGGAAAGATGGTCAGTCCTATAAAGTTTGAATTTAGAAGAAATATTTATGATTCTACATACTAGATTTTTAAAAATCTCTCTTGTTTTCTGACACAGGGAGTTTGTTGTCTTAAAAACCTAAGAATCCTAGACATAGCTGGAAATATTATTCAGACATTTCCATCAGGAGTAAGTAGAGCCTACTTCTATTATAACTAGAACATGACTTCACTTATGCTATTGAGATTAGAGAAATATGCATAGTCTTAAAACCTGTAGTAACTGGAACCTTGGATTATACAAATAACTCAAAGATTTGCTTCGTTCTAGAATTTCAAAACCTGTTCTCTCCCATTCCTTCCTGTGTGTTCTCTGCCTAATGAAACTGTTTGAACTAAGTGAACTCTGATTGCTATCATAAATATTTTAATATATTGGTTACGGTTATGTGTTTTTTGTTATTATATACTGCTTTTAGTCACCTCAGACTTTTTGAAAATATGACTTTTCAAAGCATAAATTGTTATACTTTGTAATTTATCCAAGGTGACACTTTTGTTAGTTGTTTTTGAGCCATAAACAATGAAAAAATATTTTTTTCCCATTTATAAATGAATTTTGACTTTACCGTATTTCAAAGAACTGAGAAACAGTTGGTCTTGACACGTTTTGAATTTTGGGAAAGAAATGGCAGTTTTTGATATCACATTTTATATCTGAGCAAGTATAATTCCACATGCAAGGTAATAATTAGAAGCCCATCAATCCAGAAGGTGTACAATAAATAGTTTTTGATCTATTAAATCCTTTTTCTGATCAAGTCCAAATTGAAATTTCAATGCTTTTTACCCCTAGAGAAATTGTTTGTACCGAAAGTGACTCAAATATGAAAAATAAGTATAAAGTCTATTTTAGAAAAAATGTAGTTATTGTTGTGTTAAAATATACATAACACAAAATTGATCATTTTAACCATTTTTAAGTATTTAGTTCTATGGCACTAGATGTACTCAAAATGTTGTACAACCATCATCATCTATCTCCAGAAGTGTTTTATCATCTCCAACTAAAACCTTGTTTCCTTTAAACACTACTGCCCCGGATAGCTGCCATTTTCTGTGTCTACACATTTGACGACTCTGGCCACCTCCTTGAAGAACGATATACATCATACAAACATACCATAATTTGTCTTCTTGTGACCATACTTCACTTTTAACATGTCTTCACGGTTCATCTATGTTATAGCCTTTGTCAGAATTTCCTTCCTTTTTTAGGGCTGAATAATATTCCATTGGATGTATACATCACATTTTGTTTATTCATTCATCTGAAGCACTTGGGTTGCTTTACCTTTTGGCTTTTGAGACTAATGCCGCTATGATCATGAACATACAAATATCTGTTTGATTTTCTGTTTTCATTTCTTTTGGGTATATACCTAGAAGTGGGATTGCTGAATCGTATGGTAATTGCACGTTTACTTCTTTTTTTTTTTTTAAGTTTTTATTTAAATTCTGGTTAGTTAACAGTGTAACATTAATTCCAGGTGTACAGTATAGTGATTTAACACCTCCATACAAAACCTGATGCTCATCATAACAGGTGCACTCCTTAGGAATTGCCAAGCTGTCTTTCAAAAATACACAGTTTCGAATGTTTAATAATAATTGGATGTTGTTAATATTGACCTGGTAAAGGCTACCAAGTTTTTATCATCTTACAAGTCTTAGTTCAACTCTGTCTCTGCCCTGTGATGCCTTCCCTGGTTCCCAAAGCACCATTATAGTTTGTACCACTAGTAGAATAATTCTTTTCAAGTCTGTCTTGAAAAGCTACCATTAGGCTGTAAGCTAATTAAATTGCTGAATATTTTAGTTCCTTGAAACAAATATTTTTAATATTTTAATTTTTATAATTTTAATATTTAATATTTTAAATATTTTTAAATTAAAAAAAATCTTTCAAGCAAAAATCTTTCTGTAACTCCTCTCTCCCTTAAGAGCACAGTTATTTTTCATTTATTTGAAGAAACAGTTGACCTGATAAAACTGAGATAAAGTTTTAATGATCATCACCAGGGGGCATCACGACATTTGTCTTTGATATGAAGTTTGTAACAAAATATCGTCTATAAAACATTTGCAGACCTAACAGAAAACTTCACATTTCTGTAACACTCTTGATCAAGACCCTCCATTAGCAATCTAAACTCCCTGAACTATCATAACTGTACTTTTCAGATTGAGAAGTGGTGCTAAAAGTTGTATTTCTTTTTTTTATTTCTTTTTATTTTTTTAAATTTTATTTTTTATTTTTTTAAATTTACATCCAAATTAGTTAGCATTAGTGCAACAGTGATTTCAGGAGTAGATTCCTTAGTTCCCCTTACCCATTTAGCCCATTCCCCCTCCCACAACCCCTCCAGTAACCCTCAGTTTGTTCTCCATATTTATGAGTCTTTTCTGTTTTGTCCCCCTCCCTGTTTTTATATTATTTTTGCTTCACTTCCCTTATGTTCATCTGTTTTGTCTCTTAAAGTCCTTATATGAGTGAAGTCATATGATTTTTGTCTTTTTCTGAATGACTAATTTCACTTAGCGTAATACCCTCCAATTCCATCCACGTAGTTGCAAATGGCAAGATTTCATTCTTTTTGATTGCTGAGTAAGACTCCATTGTCTATATATACCACATCTTCTTTATCCATTCATCCATCAGTGGACATTTGGGCTCTTTCCATACTTTGGCTTTTGTTGATAGTGCTGCTATAAAAATGGGGGTGCATGTGTCCCTTCAAAACAGCACATCTGTATCCCTTGGATAAATGCCTAGTAGTGCAATTGCACTACTACTACTACTACTACTACTCCTACTACTAGTAGGGTAGTTCTATTTTTAGTTTTTTGAGGAACCTCCATACTGTTTTCCAGAGTGGCTGCACCAGTTTGCATTCCCAAAAAGTTATATTTCTAAAGCAGTTCTTTGCAGTTATTAGTAATTTGCAGATTTGCAAAGCAGTTTTGCATGTTATCAAATATTTGTAACAATTTGATATTGAATAGCCCATTGAAGAATACAGATCTGGTATTATTATTCCTGTTCAGCACTCTGGAGAATTAATTTGGCTTCAGCAGTTGCCCTTAGACTTGAGAGGGCATCAGAGTCCCTGGGTGATTTGTGAAAAGGCAGAGGGCTGGGCCACACTTGTAGTGTTTCTGATTCAGTAGGTTGGGGAGCCCAAGAATTTGCATTCCTGGTAAGTTCTCAGGTGATATTGATGCAAGTCTGGGGACCACACCTGGAGCACCACTGGCCTGAAGTATAGAGCAGTGAGAGAGTTTGAACTTGCACTCCGGATTTTCAGCTGCAAGCCGAGGGCTCTTCCCATAATAGAATGCTGCCTCTGAGAAAAAAAGAATTGCTGAGGAATAAATTCTTTGTCTCAGGAGTGACAGGCAGGGCCGTCCCTGTTATGCTACACAAATAAATGAGACATTTCTTTCATCTCACTGGGAGTTTGGGTTCTGAGAGTTTGCCTGTGCCCTCCATGAAAATGATACTCAAGGAACATGCCTTGAACAATACAATTCTTGTATATTCTGGAAGACACAAGGAATGCCTGCAAAGTTGGAAGCTGAGTTTTGTATGTCACTTACTCCTCTTCAGCCACCCCGTGGATGTATTTGGAGCATGTGTGCCGTTGACGTAACTTCCTAAACAGTTATTCATCAGCCAATCTACACATCAAAGAGATTTTTAGCATGTGACTTCAAACACTAAATTTTATTTTTGGATAAAGTTTGGTCAAACCATCATCATGTAACTTTTAATTGTTTCTGAGGTTTGTCTTTATAAAGTTTCCCATTTATATCAGGTGGTTGTATTTGGAAGTGAGGCTCAGGTCTAGCTACAATATTTACAAGGACACATATAAATATGAAACTTACGGGAAGGTGCTTTGCTGAGCATAGACATTGAACAAATATGCTTTAAAAGATGTAAACCATAGCCAATGCTACATTTTCCACAGTTGCTGATTGCTTTCAGTTTCAAATTCATCATATTAGCATTCATTTGAAGCGGTGGCCTCCATAAACAGATTCTGTGTTGGAGTTAAGAATCTTGAGTGTTTGTATATCCCTAAAGTCTGTAGACATACAGTGTTTTTATAAGAAAAAAATACAAGGAGAAAGAGCTTCATGCAGTGGTGTTGTCATGAGAAAAATATGCTTGGACTATTTATGGGATGGATAATAGTTATAGCACCTATTCCATTTTATCAGTGCCCCCCTTTTTTCCATGAAGAATTCTTCAGTCGTCATAAATCATATTTGAAAACAGTGCTAACACTTTCCCCTTTCACAGTATGAGAAACATAGGAGGGAAAAAAAATGTAAGTAACTTTCCCAGAAACACAAATCATTTGAATGGCAAAGGGACTATTCAAATCCACTGTTCCCAAACAAAAATTAAATATGCCCAAGTTAGTAATTTATCAGTTGGGTGACCTTGAGCACATAACTCAATCACTTAGTGTTACGTTTTTTTTCCCCTATGGAAGTTGGGCATATTAATAACACTTACAACATTGTTGGGAAAGGGGTGACACAGCACTTGGTGTTCAGCAAATATAGAATGAGTGAATGATTAAATGAGATAATACATATAAATCTTTTACTAGCGCTTGGCACATGATAGATAGCAAATGTTATTTTCTTTTTATTTTAAAGTTGGGTCTGAGCTACATGCCACTGAATCCATCCCAGATATAGGGACATTTTTGCAAGCCTTTACTTTATTTATTTATTATTTTAAAAAATTTGTAATGTTTATTTTTGAGAGAGAGAGCAGGCACAGATGCAAGTGGGGGAGGGACAGGGAGAGAGGGAGACACAGAATCTGAAGCAGGCTCCAGGCTCTGAGCTGTCAGGACAGAGCCTGACATGGGACTCAAACTCCTGAACCGTGAGATCATGACCTGAGCCGAGTCAGACGCTTAACTGACTGAGCAGCCCAGGTGCCCCTACATGCTTTTAAAATCATGAAAGCACCTGATGATTTTAACTATTTCAGATAGCAGGGTAATGGTTGATCTGTATGTGCGGGTATACTAGGGAGATACAGGTTTATTAGCAGTTTACTGTGCTTCCTGTTCTCCGTGTGTTCTTTACCTGAATAGCTGTTCC